CACGCACGCACGCACGCACGCACGCACGCACGCACGCACGCACGCACGCACACACACACACACACACATACGGACATTTTTTTTAGGCGATATTTTGACGTTTTACAACAATCTGAACATATTGGCAGAAAAAACTCAAAAAGCAATTTCACACACATACGGACATTTTTTTTAGGCGATATTTTGACGTTTTACAACAATCTGAACATATTGGCAGAAAAAACTCAAAAAGCAATTTCTTCGATGGTTTTTTCTACCCCTATTTCATATATAATTTTTTTAAAATTTGATTGACTAAACTCAACTTAAACGCAATCGAAGGTTCATATACGAAATTCACGAAAACAAAGCTTTCTCTATGAGGAAGCAAAAATGCATAAAATATATTAAATAAATAACTATTTTACTACATATAGTCAATAAAGTATTACAGTATTTTATTGCAGTATTTTATTACACAATAAAACTGCAATTGCAGCGCAAACGAACAATTATTTTTATAAATAATAAATAATAAGTTATGAAATGCTCTCTTTGCATTCCCTGTCACATCTGGCCATTTCAATGGCCTCTTTTTTCTTTCTCTTTTTTTCTCATTGCTATTATCTTGTAGCACTTAGATTTGTTCGCTAAAATAATCACGTGGCTGCGTCATACTTTGCACAATATTAAATACAATGCGTATTTAATAATGTCGCAACAGCAAAGAGATAGAACTCTGACCTCTGCGATGTTTCACAAATAAAAGTTCAATAAAATGAAGTATCAGTACATGAGCGTCGAATCTGTACCACGCAAAAGATATTGCAGTAAATAATAAATAGACGGTTCTTCTTTAAGGATAGGTCATTAGTAACTGCAAAAATTTATTTATTATAAAGAGAAAACTCTTAAAGAGTGTTGAACAGTTTATGTAACAAATATGGTGAAAATAGAGAATGACCCTTAACTAATTTTGTGATCTTCTAAATTCGAATCGAATTGTATGCCAAACAGTACTACATGATGGGACATTAATTTCAGCAAATTTTTAGTTCAGGATAATTTTGAAGATACAGGGAGTCAAAGTGGCCAAATTCCCAATATTGTCCAAGCACAAAGGACACAAAAAAAAGTTAAAACTTCTTTGATAATAGTGGTAATTTGATTAGAATTAGTCCGAATAAATCTCTGACCACCGTACTAAAAATCTGACCCCTCCACTCCTGTTGCTTAATTTTTTAAAGGAGCCCCCAAAAAAGTTTTTACTGAATTTCTCGAAAGCGGATACAGTTACGAAAAAATGTAACACTTTGCACACGTGTCATAATCGGTAAAATGTTTCAAAAGGAAGTTGTTTATCTTGGAATTTGATCTACACAAATAGGTCTCTTTTATTTTTTTTCGTAGAGCTAATCTTTTGGCTCAAAAACTCTCTCACTCGTTCACTCTCTCAATGAATCTTTCTTTTAATTTAAAGTATAAGAACGCTGAGTCTGTTACTAAGTTCTTGCCGTCTATCACTTGCAATATGCCAACAATATAACTTTTCAAACTTTTAAGCCGGGTATACACTTAGCGAACGAACACCGAACAAACAGTGAACGCAAACATTAGTTGTCATTATTCAACAAATTGTATAATAAAAAATCTCAAATTGCTAAATGCAGCAAACATCGATTCTAGTCGAATTCTGGTGTTTGGCGCAACCAAAAAAAAAAGAACAGACAACCAAGGAACACAAATGCGAATAATGTCCGAACGTTCGCGTTTGCTGTTCGTTCTCTACACAGTAAAAAATCGTGCGTCCAAATGTTAAAATTTTCTTGTGTTACAAAGATTTGACTATTATTTCAATGTAAAATTAACATACAACAGCTATGTTATTATTTTCGTAACATTTTCATATGTTAAATTAATGTCAACGTGATAACTTAACACTTTATGTATGTCATTTAGAAATTGAATATTATTTTGAGTTCTTTTAACATAATTATTTCAAAAAATCAACACGCCTTAAAGTTTTTTTAACATAAACAAAAATTAAAGTAAATCTTCAAATAATCGTAAACTTTGACATACAAAATAATCAAATTTACTACAATCAAATGTTCAAAACAACATTTCTCTTAAGTTGAAGTAACTATCGTTTATTCAAATATGTTATATCGACATTTTTTACAAGTTATTTTTACATTATACTTAAAGTTAAAAGAACAAATATAAATGTAAAATATAGTGTCAATAAATTAACATTTCTAATTTGTCAACGAGTAACACACGATGAATGAGTTATTTTAACTCAAAATTTAAAGTGGATTTTCTGGGACATTTGAAAAATGTTACGATTAACATTTTATTTTTTACTGTGTAAGTGTAGGTATACCTAGCTTTAAACGGATTATTAATCCATATGTATCTTTATATAATTTTTAACTTCCTATTAAATAGGAAATTCACCTCTTAAACGAGGTATAAGCGTAGGCCGGGACGGAATCGAATCACGGACGCATAACACTTGCATATTTGCATGATTGATATTAAATCAATGATTCTAACCATTTCGATGACCCTTGTATTGGTAATACCATTTATATTGCTTATATAAGCAATTTATAAAAAGTCTTAAAAAAAGCTTATTAATAATAAATTTTAGATATCGTTATCATAATATAAGACTGTACATGCCATTCAAATAATTAAATAGAACATCATAAAAGCGAACGAGTAGTCGAGATTTAACAAAAAAAAATATTTTTGATTTGAAAATATATTTATTGTTAGTTTCAAGTTCCAACAACATGAAAATCTTGAAATAAGATTATATTGAGTTAAACGAATAAAAATTTGCTTAAATAAAGTCATTATATAGTTCAACCAAGAAAAAAAATGTTGAAATAAAAAGTTGAAATTTTAATTAGAAGATATAGATTGTTTCGTATATACGCAAAATTACTATAAGGTTCTTAGAAAGAAAGTATAAGATTTCAACTTTTCCTTTCTTGAACTATATAATACTTAGTTTAATAATAATATATAAATAACATCATTCAAGCAAATTTTCTTCGTTCAATACAGTATAATTTCATTTCAAGATTATATATTCTTGCGTATATACAAGTATATCAGTTGATTTGACACTTGTTTTTTTGTGTGCAGTACCAGAACTGATCAGTCACTCGCAAGCGTTTCATGTAAGAACTTCGGTTTATCGTGACATATTTTATAGTAACGAAAACATTTGTAATAATGTAATATCTCTAAAATATTAAGAAATTGAATATATTTTTACTTTTACATGTTTGTTATGTACATGCGCATTTTTTAATAAAATAAATAATACATTATATCCATTTAAAATTTGTTCGTGATAAAGTATCAATAAAGTATTTTAACACACTTTTTACTGACCAAACG